TCAAATAAATAAATAAAATCTTTAAAAAAAAAAAAGATCAGTTCACTATATTTTTGTGGATCTATTTCTGAACTCCCTATTCTGTTCCAGTGATCTGTGTGTTCTTTCACCAAAAACATGTTATCTTGATTACAATTAGTGTTTTCTTTTTTTAAAATTACACTTGTACATTTTTCTTTTTATACCTTCAAGAGCCAGTTTTGAATTTCTTTGCTCATTCTGGCTCGTTTCTTTATTATTTCTTTTCTTCTTCTTCTTCTTTTTTTAAAAAATATTTATTTATTCGACAGAGAGAGACATAGCGAGAGAGGGAACACAAGCAGGGGGAGAGGGAGAGGGAGAAGCAGGCTTCCCGCTGAGCAGGGAGCCCAATGCTGGTCTCAGTTCCAGGACCCTGGGATCATGACCTGAGCCGAAGGCAGATGCTTAACAACTGAGCTACCCAGGCGCCCCTATTACTTCTTTTCTTGACCTTGTTATTGTTTTCTCTAGCTTCTTCAGTTAAATTAGTTAAGCTCATTTCATTTTCTCTTAAAATATGTATATTAGTCTTCTAGGGCTGCCATAAAAAAAAAAATACCACAGGTTGGGTGGCTTAACCAGCAGAAATTTATTTTCTCACAGCTCTGGAGGTTTGAAGTCCAAGATCAAGGTGCTGGAAAATTGATTTTTTGGTGAGGTCTCTCTTCCCAGCTTGCAGATGTCCACCTTCTCCATGTCCTCATGACCTTTTCTCTGTGCCAAGGGAAGTGGGGAAAGGGATAAAGAGATCTCTGGTGTCTTTTCCTCTTCTTATAAGGCCACAAATTCTATTAGATTAGGGTCCCACTCAGTGACCTTATTTAGCTTTAAGTACCTCCTTAAAGGCCCTGTCTTCGAACACAGGCACACTGGAGGTTAGGGCTTCAACATACACATTTTGGAGGGATACAATTTGGTCTATAAAAATATGATAAAAGCATCATTGCTATGAATTTATTTCTGAATATAGCTTTATCTCTAAAGTGCGTTCTTTAGTACATGGTGTTATCACTATTCTCTACACATTGTTATTGCGTACTTATTTCCTTATTGATCTAATAGTTACTTGGAAAATCATGGTGACTTTCCCTTGTTCTCCAGAATTTTTTATAAGCCCTATATTTTAAAAGCTAATATAGAAATTTATAATATTGCTTTGATATTTTGAATTTATTGAAATTAGTCTAATAGAATGGTTCTCAATCCTAGGGGACATTTGGGTATGTGCATTTTTGGTTGGCATCATGATGTGCAGTGGGGGAGGGCTTCATGTAGTTCACAGGGTGAGAACTTCTGGATCTCCATGCTATAGGCCAGCCATGAGGAACTGTGGTGTGTGTGTGTGTGAGAGAGAAAGAGATTGAGAGAGCAGGGGATGAATTTCAGGCCCTGTCTCTAAACATGGCACGCTGCCATTGCTTTGCTGCTATCACGTGTAAGTGTGGAGCACTGTGTGTGGAGTCTCCTTTCAGAGTTGCAGGTGTGCAGTGAGGCAAAGCCCACTCTGCTCTGGGTTTCCTCCTTTTCTTTGGGGGTCTCAATCCACTTTCAGGATTTCAACTACCTCCAAGGGAATGCATACTAGGGAGCAGCCTCACACTTGTGTCTACTCTAAACTCATTTCCTTTGATGCTCTTCTAGATCCTTCTCCACTGTCTGGGATGGGGCTTTAATTTCTTCCTTAGGTGGCATGAAACAACTTAAATCCTGTCCTGCAATTTTTCTCTTTTAAGACTCTTATTTAGAATGTGCTCAGTCCTTTAAACTCTGACTCTTGCTCTCTGAAGGGAGATTTTTTTGCCCCCACATAAATATTTGTAGTGAGGAGAGGGATCTTTTAAAATTTCCTATTAAATTTAATTTTGGTATAATTTCAGACTTAAAGTCTCAAGAAAAGCACAAAGAATTTTCAAAAACTCTTTATCCAGATTCTCCAAGTGTTAACGTATTGTCACATCCTCCTCTGTCTCTGTCTCTGTATAGATGTGTCTCCCCTCTGCCTCCCTCTTCACACAAGGACACGTGCCCGTGTGCACACACACACGTCAAGAAATTAGCACTGATTCAATGCTATTGTCCAATCTACTGACTTTCTTCATATTTTGCCAACTGTCCCACTAAAATCCTTTCTAACCAAAGAAAATCCGTTATATTGCACTTAGTTGTCATGTCTCTTTAGTCATTCTTTGTGTTTTATGACATTGGCATTTTTGAAGACTATAGGCTTGATATTTTGTAGACTCTTCCCCCATCTGCGTTTGTTTCTATTTCCACAAAATTAGGTTCAGGTTATGCATTTTTGGCAGGACTCCCACTGTGTCCTCAATGGATCCTATCAGAAGGGGCGTGATGTAAATTGTCACATAACTGGTGAGGTGAACCTTGATCACTTGGTTAAGGTGGTGTCTGCCAGGTTTCTCCACTGTAAAGGTACTAGTTTTCCTTTTGTACTGAGTAAGTCATCTTTCAGGGAGATACTCTGAAGCTATTGTGTCATTCTTCAAACTTGCATCCATTACGTTTACCATCCATTGGTGATTCTTACCTGAATCAGTTATTATTATGATGGTTACCCAATGACTATTTTCTAATTTCATTACTTCTTCTATAGTAATTCCTTTTTTTTTTTATTGTAAGGAAGAGTTTTCTAAAGGAGGACTTTGGAAATTCAGAAAATGTTTTTTATTTTTTCTCTTGCGGAGTTAAGCTCCTGAAATTGAATAACTGACTTTCAAAACTGTTGTCTTTTTTTTTTTTTTTAAGATTTTATTTATTTATTTGAAAGAGAGAGAGATCACAAGTAGGCAGAGTGGCAGGCAGAGGGAGAGGGAGAAGCAAACTCCCCGCTGAGCAGAGAGCCTAATTTGGGACTCGATCCCAGGACCTTGGTATCATGACCTCAGCCGAAGGCAGACGCTTAACTGACTGAGCCACCCAGGCGCCCCAGAACTGTTGTCTTTTCAGCTCAAAGCTGAGCTATGAGGCCTCTGCTCTAGGCTGTGCCCACCTTCTCTCTGAGGTACTAAGTGTACAGAATACCACTGAGACCATTGTTGAAGAGTCACAGGATCACAAGAATCATTTTAGCCTGGGAAAAGCCCTTAGGTTAAAATTATCTCCAAATATCACCTTGCTGTAACAGTTTTTAGTATTGCAAATTTTCATATTTTTGTGTCTTTCTAGGTGTTTTGGTGTAAAAGTGAGTGAAACTGCTATTAAAAAGGAATTATGGGATCAAAAATAAATATATTACCACTTGAAAAGAACTTTAAACCTTTCTGTATTTTACACAAAAGTAGTTTACCCCTCTTCCACCCAAGGTTTACACCACTGATTTGCTAGATTAACTCATCGAAGATCATGTGGGATTAGCATTGTAAGGTCAATCCCAATGATTTTCCATTGTTTTGAATTCTAAGTTAGGGAATTGGAATCGATACATTTCTTTTTACCCTCAGACATTGTATGTTTTGAATTGGGTGATATTTGTATGTTGGGGTGAATGTATCTTCTGCCAACTTCCTTTGCCTGTATCATCTCTAAGAGGGTGATTGAACCAGGTTTGTTTCAGAGACAGGTGGTGGATACTATAATATCCCCAGGCTTGTCATGTTTCTGAAGCAAAAACAGTTCTGGGCCACAACCTGGCAGAGTCTCTCATGTTAAGACATGGAGACTTAAAAGAAAAGGATACTTGTTTATGTTATGTCTATTTCTTACAGATATACAGTGTCTACATTAGCTAAAAGGAGAAAATAAAATAAATTACATTGAAACAAGAAGAGTTGGAAAAAACACAATTTCCTAATTTCTTTATGGGTATTAGCCCAAGAGCATAAATCCCAAAGCTATCCCAAAGAAAGAAAGCTAACTGCTGAGAGTCTCCTGGTTTTCTCTTTCAAACACATGCTTTTATCTTAATGACCATATATCTGAAATCTTTATTTGGGGATCCAAAAGAAAAAAAACCCACGAAGTTATTCAGTGTGCATATTCTCTATATTATGAATGTTGGAATTTGGATACATTAACTCCAGAGAGTTAATGTGGTATTTTAGCACACATTTGTACATCCTCTTTGCATAGAAGTCCTAGGGAAGTGCTTCTTGACTATCTTGATTTTCTGCTGTTTATTTCAGCGGCTAATGTGTATAAAGATGATTATCATTTCTACCTGGAAGTGACATCTTAAGAAATGTGTATGTAGAGGGGATTGAGAAATATTGCAGAGGATGTTGGATCTTCCTTTTAAACAACTATTCATGTAGGCAACTTCTTACTTATTTTGTGTATTGAACAAGTGATTTTTTAAATCAGTAGATCCTTCTCGCTATGAGCATGAAGACACCTTTTTCTCAGTGTTTCACACTCAAGTCCCTCCAGAAGAATATGAAAACCGTATACAGAATGTCAATCAAGGTATGTTTCGATTTGTGTGATTTTGCATATTGTCACAAGAAAATACTAGCTATACACAGAAATATTCACAGATGAAATAATTTGATGTGATTTAATCCAGAGGTAGGTGAAAGTAGGTTAAGGTTCTAGATGAAACAAGATTGGTCACAAGTTAATCATTGTTGAAGTTAGTTGTTGAAGGTTTATGATACCATTCTTTCTACTTTTGGATATTTAAATTTTATGTAATAAAGAGTTAAAGAAAAGCTGGTTTCAAGTAATAGAAAACTAGCTTAAGCAAAAAAAGAAAATTTATGGTAATAATCCTGGAGGTAGACAGCTTTTTTGATTCCCAAGAGCAAATTCTGTGGTTAGTCATTGAGAGGGAGACTCAATTTCAAAATTGCAGAGAAGACAACAACTGATCCAGCTTGGGTTAGGTGCCTGCCGCTGGTCCAACCAACTCATCCAACCCAGCAAGGGTTGGGGTTAATATAGGAACGTGGCCACTTCTACTGTTGGTCACCACCAGGGTGGAGAGGAGAAGACAGTTCTAGTGAGACAGTTCTGACCAGACGACTACAATTTAAGAGACTATTATAAATGTAGACATGAATGCATATAATTTGAGTTATTTTATTTATTTTATTTACTTATTCATTTATTTATTTTTAAGATTTTATTTATTTATTTGACAGGGAGAGAAACAGCAAGAGAGGGAACACAAGCAGGGGGAGTGGGAGAGGGAGAAGCAGGCTTCCCGCGGAGCAGGGAGCCCGATGCGGGGCTCGGTCCCAGAACTCCGGGATCATGACCTGAGCCGAAGGCAGACGCTTACATGACTGAGCCACCCAGGCGCCCCTAATTTGAGTTATTTTAATATATATATATATTTTAAAGATTTTATTTATTTATTTGAGAGAGAGGATGAGATAGAGAGAGAGCATGAGAGGGGGGAGGGAGGGAGAAGCAGACTCCCTGCTGAGCAGGGATCCCGATGCGGGACTCGATCCTGGGACTCCAGGATCATGACCTGAGCCGAAGGCAGTCGCTTAACCAACTGAGCCACCCAGGTGCCCAAATTTGAGTTATTTTAATGTTGTATTATTTAGGAGTATATGAAACTTAAACTGAATGAGTAAACCTCATATTTCAACTTAAAAGACTATACACAACTTCGATTATGGGAGAAAGTTGCATATTTTATATCTGAGGAGGCCACTCACCAAAAAAAACCTCATACTTTAACTACTGGTAGTTGATTAAAAAACTTTATTGATTGGGTGCCTGAGTGGTTCAGATGGTTAGGCATCTGCCTTTGGCTCAGGTCCTGATCCCGGGGTCCTGGGATCGAGTCCCACATCAGGCTCCCTGTTCCCTGGGGAGCCTGCTTCTCCCTCTGCCTCTGCCTCTCTCTCTGTGTGTCTCTCATGAATAAATAAATAAAACCTTAAAAAAAAGTTATTGGTCAAATAAATAAGATCCCAGTGATAAAATACAGATTGATTTGACTAGAAACTTGTAACTTAAATTTGAGTGAAACTTCATTCTTACTCAAATTTATTTTTTTTGAAAAGAATTTAAATCCAGAGATCTTACCCTTTTCCTGGTCCTTTCCAGCAATTATTATCAAAATATATTCTTTAATTATTAAATTTGTATTGAATCTTTGGTAACTAGCTATAAATACACCAACTGACTAGCTCCCTTAATCCTTCTTATTGACATACCCTCTTTTATAAAACAAAGATAACTTTTAAGTAAACCTTGTCTGGATTGAGCTACTGGCTGCTGTTTTTCCCTTTTGGATTTTAATGTGGTAATTTATCCTCTTTTGTAGGGTGGACTCCATTTGTCGTTTAAGAAGACTCTTCTTAAAAAAAAAAAAAAGACTCTTCTTTATGCCTGTTTTCAGAGCTTTAAAGAAGCGGTCACATGATCTTGTTTTAAATGCTTTAAACGTGACCACAGTGAAAACAAGATATATAATAAAGGGAATAAGAGTCCATAAGTATTTTTCTTACCCTTGTTTTGAGCACCCAGGGTCTGAACACCTCAGAAGTTGACTCAGGCCTCTTTACAAAGGTTGAGAAAAGTGACAAACTGAGATGAGCTCTCAGGGTTTGTGCAGATGGAATGTCGAACATCCAGGACCCTTGTGCCCAGACTTTGCTTAAAAGACAGGTTTGAACAAAAAGTTACTGTTCAGAGAGGGTAATGGCATATTAATAGAATAGCAGGAAATGACTCTAGTCTTTAGGGAAAATTTTGTTTCATATAAAAACTGAGATAAAATATACTGTATTAATTAATGAGCTTCATTGGAGTATAGTTGACACACATTTTACACTAATTTCAGGTTACAACATAGTGACTCAGCGAGTTTACACGGTAATCTATGCTCACCACAAGTGCAGCTCCCCTCTGTTACCATGCAACACTCTTACGATACCACTGACTATGTTCCTTATGCTGTGCCTTTCATCCCCGTGACTTGTTCATTCCCTAACTGGAAGCCTGGGTGTGCCACTCCCCTTCACCCATTTGGCCCATCTCCTCAAACTTCTCCCCTCTGGCAACCATTGTTTTGCTCTCTGTATTTATAGGTATGATTCTTTTTTTTTTTTTTTATTATGTTATGTTAGTCACCATTCATTACATCATTAGTTTTTGATGGAGTGCTCCACGATTCATTGTTTGCGTATAACACCCAGTGCTCCATGCAGAACGTGCCCTCCTTAATACCCATCACTGGGCTAACCCATCCCCCCCCATAGGTATGATTCTGCCTTTTGTTTCCTTATTTATCCATTTCTTTTGCTTTTTAGATTCCACCTATGAGTGAAATCATATGGTAATTGTCTTCCTCAGTCTGACTCATTTCACTTAGCATAATACCCTCTAGGTTTATCCATGTTGTCACAAATGGCAAGATCTTTCTCTTTTTTATGGCTGAGTAATATTCTAGTGTCTGTGTGTGTGTGTGTGTGTGTGTGTGTATCACATCTTTTTCCGTAAGAATAAATCTCCCTATATATTAGGTTTCTGGATTTGGAATTTAGAAGTTATTCTATATGTGTTTTATT